GGGGGGGGGGGATGTAACAACAAGCTACTAGCCTTTGTGGCAAGGAGACGGATCAAGAATCTGGTGGCATCCAAAAGCCGACTCCATTTTTATCAGGCCTAAGCTTGTGTGGCCTGCCAGATGTTTGAAGAAGGGTCCCCCCGGGCTGATCAAAACCAGTTCAGCTTTAAGAAGCCACAAGAGTCTTTGTAGGTTAAAAAAAAAAGATACCCACCCTACACGGGTTCATCTTCCTCTCCTCTGCTTTGTGTGAATGAGGAGAGATCTGGGATTTCTAGCTAACCACAAACTCCAGCCCTTTTTGGCTCCTCTGTTTTTTGTGAGATGGATCGACGCTTTCCCTCCAGCCCCGTCCCTCGGGGGGCTTTACTAGTCGGGCAGCAGCCTTGCAGACAGAGCCCGTCCCCCTCCACCCCCGGATCTTCCAGAAAGGCTGGACAACACCTCCCATCGTCCCCAACCACCCGAGAAAGAAGGCCAGCGGTGGCGGACCGTCCCCTGTCCCCGACCGGTGTTGTCGTCTCCTGGCTGATTTTTTTTTTTTAATCCAACGACTGTTAGCGGCAGAGGCGCGGGAAGATATTATGAAGTGGTTTAATAAGCGAGTAGGGTACTTAATGAGTACAAACCACAATTTGGTGATTTGGCCCAGTTCAGTGCCACAGCTGCACAGGTGCTATGTAGACCTTGTGCACTCCCCTCTCCCACTTCCTCTGTGCTCTCACCAATTCCCCGGGTGACACATGCTTCCCTCCCTGCCTTCCCACCACCCGCATAACACCTGTGTTCAGGATCTACATAATACCTGTGCTGGGCTCCCACATAACGCCCCGTAGGCGGGAGGGTGTTGACCTGGGAAGGGCGCGTTCACACGCCCGGCAGCCGTTTCCTCGGCACGGGTGGCCCCGCGGGGCTCCTCCCTGCGCCGGGCAGGGCTCCTCCCGGGACGGACGAGGAAGAGGAGGAGGAAGGAGGAGGCGAGAAGGCGAGCGGGGAGCCAGGCAGCCGGCCAGCCCGCGAAGCGCACCGGGGCGCGCCTTCTCCGCGCATCTGGCACCCGACGGCCGGAGGGCAGAGAGAGGGGTGAGGACTGCAGGGGGGGCACCGGGAGCGGGCAGGGGGAGGCTCTCCACCTCCTC